GGGGGGCCCTGAAGCACTGTCCTCCTTCCTGCAGGACTCCTATCGGAAGCAAGTGGTTATCGATGGTGAGACGTGCCTGCTGGACATTTTGGACACGGCGGGTCAGGAGGAATATAGTGCCATGCGGGACCAGTACATGCGCACTGGAGAGGGCTTCCTGTGTGTGTTTGCCATCAACAACACCAAGTCTTTCGAGGACATCCACCAGTACAGGTGAGCTGCTGGCCGGCCCTCAGGGGCCTCCCTGTCCCTGTTTCTCCTTGTGTCTCTCTGTCCGGGGCCTGGATGCAGCTGTGCCTGCAGCTCAGCGACTGGCTGCCCCCTTCTTCCTTGCAGGGAGCAGATCAAGCGAGTGAAGGACTCCGATGACGTGCCCATGGTGCTGGTGGGGAACAAGTGTGACCTGGCTGCCCGCACCGTGGAGTCCCGGCAGGCACAGGACCTCGCCCGCAGCTATGGCATCCCCTATATCGAGACGTCGGCCAAGACTCGCCAGGTGAGCCGGCTCCCCACCACAGCTAGCCAGGGACCCGCCCCGCCCCACCCCTGCCAGGGAGCAGTGCTCATTGCCCCCTCTCCCCCCACACAGGGCAGCCGCTCTGGCTCTGGCTCCAGCTCCGGGACCCTCTGGGACCCTCCGGGACCCCCGTGACCCAGCGGCCCCTAGCGCTGTAAGTGTCCCCGGACGGCAGGGCAGCGAGGGAGGCCAGGGCCCAGGGTCTGGGCTGACACAGCTCCAGGGAGAGGCGGAGGTCCCTGGAGAGAGCTGCCCTGAGCCAGGCCGGAGCGGTGACCCTGGGGCCCTGGCCCCTCGGCCCCCAGAGAGCCCCGTGGGCCCTTGTTGGCCCTGCCCCCTTCACGGGCTGGTGGGGACGAGGTTGCTAGGTCAGACAGGAGTGGGACACGGGGTGTTCAAGCTGGGAGCCAGACCAAGGCCCGCCCTGTGGGGGAGCTCCTGAGGAGCGAGCTGCCTGATGGGGGTAGCCCTGGGGCTGTGGGATGAGCAGGGCCCGGCTGCCCACGTGTGGGAGTCGGGGTGGGGAGAGGGAGGGGAAGGGCCGGGATTCTGCATGAGCTGGAGGCCGGGGTCCCTTGGTCCCCCTCCCCTGTCAGGCCCCCAGGCCGAGTCCCACTCTGAGCCGGCCCCTTCTTCCTAGGGCGTGGAGGACGCCTTCTACACGCTGGTGCGAGAGATCCGGCAGCACAAGGTGCGAAAGCTGAGCCCGCCCGACGAGGGTGGCCCAGGCTGCATGAGCTGCAAGTGCCTGCTCTCCTGACGTCCCTTCCAGGCCCCCCCTGACATCCCCGCAGGCCCTCTGTGCCCCAGCAGCGCAGGCAGGGGGCGTGGAGGTGCCAGATGCCGGGAGGAGGTGCCGACGGAGGAAGGAGGAGGGGAAGGAAGGAAGGAAGCGCCACCGGAGCCCGGCCAGCCCAGGCTCCCTGGACAGAGTGACCGCAGACCTCCCAGGACGCTTTGCACAGACTGTGGTGAACTGAGGCCACCGGCACCCTGGCTGTCACTCTCCTCCCAGCCCCGTCCTGGCCCTTTGGCCACAGGCTGAGTCGCAGTAAATTATTGGATGGTCTTGACCCTGGCGTCTGGCCGAGATTGGAAGGCACCTGGGACCCTCAGCTTTGTCTGCCCGGAGGCCCCTCTGCAGGGACCCCTGTAGGGGCTGGTGAGGCGGCCTGGGCCCAGCCACCCTGTGCTGTCTGGCTGGCTGTCTAGCGCCTCTTGCACGCAGCTCTGGGGCCGCAGGACCAGGCTGGCTTTGCGTTTTAACACAACACTTTATTGAACTTTCAGCAGCAAACGGGCTCAGAACCAAGGGTGCAAGCCTTCCTCTGGGGAGGGAGACCTGCTTCTTTAGGGGAAGGCTGAAATCACAGGGGGGCGTGGGCGCTCGTGTGCCCCACCTTGGAGCCTGTGCTGACTCTGGGGGGTGGCACATTTCTGAGTTCGGGGCCACCAAGAGGCGGGTGCTGAGGACGGCCGACCTGAGCTGGAGCTCTGGGGCTCCCAGGCAGGGTCCCAGCACATCTGCATGGCCTCGGCCTCTGCCCATTGCTGCCGGGTGACTCGGAGAGCCAGCCTCTGGCGGCACCTGCCTCCTGCTGTGGGGGAGGGGGAGGGGGGCCCCACCGGCCTGCGCCTGCTGAGCCTTAGCTGGGGTGGCCGGTGGTTCCCAGCGCTGCCCTAGGTCGGAGACATGGATCTGTGGGGCATGCCCAAGTCCCAGGGGGCCACACACAGCTCTGAGAGGGCTCGCCCAGGCTTGGGCCAGAACCCAGCACTGGCCAGGGCCACGGGGGGCTCCGTCCCATCCGTCTTCATTTTGTTCATGGGGGGGCTCGTGTCGTCTCTGCCCCCCAGGGCCTGGGGCCAGGCCAGTTGAGGTCCCCCCAACTCAGGGACTTGTGCACCTGGAGGGGTTGCCGCCGTCCAGGCAGGCCAGTGTGTTGAGGCAGGGCATGGTGCTGGCTGCCCAGAGCCCCAGGGCCCCCACGCTCAGCATCACGCTCTGCTCCAGAGGCCAGGGAGCATCTAGCAGCCCTGTGGACGCAGAGGTCGGACGGTCCCAGGCAGGTGCGGGGCCTCGGGGCTGTGGCTCAGCGCGGCCCTGGCTCTGTCTTGGCTGTGCTGGTCACCCCCGAGAGGGGTATGAGCTGCAGTGGCCACAGGGCAGGAAGGGTGTCCTGGGCCCTACAGCTTCCTCTTTCCTGGGCTGGGGGGACCCCGTCCCGAGAGTCCCAGGGGCATTCTGGGGCCTGGTCTGTGGTGTGCCCACTGGGGTGGCCCAGGCAGGGGCTGAACGGAAAGGGACCCAGTGCTGTGGCTTCGAGCCCACGTCGGGGGGCCACCTGCCTGCACCCTCCTGGTGCACTGGGAGGTTGGGGAGGGAATTCCATTGCTGTGGGGACAGCCGGGCCAGCAAGGGGTCTTGGGCTGGGGGCAGCCGGGCCAGAACCTGGGCCCTTGGCCCTCCCGGCTGCAGGGGTGCAGTTGAGGGCTCCGTGGACATTCCCTCCTGCAGCAGCTCCTCGGCCTTGAGGATGGCCTGGCCGGGAAGGGGTCCCTGCTGCTCATGCTGGGTGGCTGGGCCCGGGGAGGCCGGCCCGTCCACTCTGGGGAGCGTCTCAATGCAAGAAGGGAGGCGGGGCTTGGGTGCCGGGGACACTTCCTCCAGGCCCAGGGGCTTCGTGGGGAACTCCTCAGGACCGGCTGCAAAGAGGCAGGCTGCGTCAGCGTCCCCGGCAGGCTGTTTGTCCCCAGCTGGCTGGGGCCCAGCGTGTGCTCGTGGCTCCCTGCATGTCCACCCTGGCCTGCCCCTGACAACAGCCCTCCAGGTGCTGATGCCCAGCCGCTGCAGTGAGCGCCCGGACGCCCGGCCCCGGCCTGGGTTCCCCAAGGTTGGAGCAGAAGAGGAGAGGGACAGAGATGAGGAGGAAAGCCCCGGGGGCTCTGTCCCCTGTGTCCTGCCCCAGGAGGGTGAATCAGGAGGGGATGGGGCCCTGAGCCCACCTGGAGGGGGCAGGTCGCACTTATCCTTCAGAGCTGGCCATGGAGGATCGAAGGTGTCTGAGCACCACCTCATCCTCCAGGGCCCAGGGCTGGGCCAGGGTGTCCTGCAGAAACTCCCGAAGACCTTCCAGGGGCAGCTTCAGGAGGCGTTCTGGGCAATGGGTGTGAGTCAGACCCAGAGGGACCCTGCCCTGCCACCCCAGGGTGCCTCCCATGGACAGCTGCTGGGGTCCAGCTGTCCCAGGAGCGCCACGGGCTGCCCGTGGCAGGGGGAGGTCCCATGCAGGCTGCTCCTCTCTGGGGTGCCCCGCCCAGCCCCCTGCCGGCCTCCGTCCTCCACCGAGGCCTGCACCTCGCTCGGGTGGTGGGCCAGCCCCCCCTCCTCGGGCACACCTGGGCTCCCTCGGGCTCGCTCACTGCTGTGCATCTTGAGGATGGTATACGCCATGGCTCCCCGTCCAGGATGTAGGCATCCCAGAGCTTCAGAATGAGCAAGAAGGGGGTCTGTGGGGACAGCAGGTGTGGGAGGGGCAGTCTCGGTGGGGCCCACTGGCTGCATCGGATGAGGCCCCCCAGCCCCTCCTGTCGGGGCTCCAAACAACCCCGGGGGGTAAGGGCCTGGCAAGCATGACCCGCAAACCGGGGGGCCACAGATTCTGCCCCACCCTCGGGGGCCACAGGCCCTTAGAGGACTCCAGGCTGGCTGCGGAATGGGGCAAGGGCCTGTCCACTCCCCAGGCTGACCTGACTTTCCCAGGGGGAGCTGAGGTGGACATAGCCCGTCCCCCAGAACCACCTCAAGGGGGTCTCGGGTTCTCCAGGATGGGTCTGGGCTTCAAGCCTCAGCCTTCGGGCTTCCGGGTTGGGTCTGGCTGCCCTGGTCAGTGAGGCTCAGCTGGGGCCTCCCCGGGGGCCAGGGCCAGGGGCAGGGAGCAGGGCAGGGAGCAGGTCAGCTTGGGTGGCCTTACCTGGTCGATGAAACACTGGAGGAACCACTTGGCGGTGTAAATACCAGTGCACATCTGTTCCTCGTCCTGACGGAAGTGTGGAAGGTGCTCAGGACCCACCCAGCGGCCCCAAACCCCTGGGCCAGGGCCCCATGGAGCCAGGTGGACACACTCGCCAAGGCCCCGCTCAGCCCTGAGGACGCTCCTGGGCCCAGCAGGAGAAGGAACAGGACAGGGCCACTTTGGCAGGGTTCTGCTCGCCCCCCACCCCAGTCCCAGGCCATGGGGACAGGGCCTCTGGGGAGCTTCTACTTGTCAGGTGCTTCTTTAGCTTCGGCAGCTCTTGTGCTTTAATAAGGCTGTGATGGGCCTGGAACCTTAGCAGTTTGGGGAGCCCTGGAATGAAGAAGCCTGAGAAGGCCCCAGGCCCCCTAACCATCAGGGCTTTCTCCTGCACCAGGTGTGGGGGGGTGAGTCCTGGCAGGGGTCTCCTCTCCCATGCCCTGACTGCAGAGTGTGCCCACAGCCCTCCCGAGCCCTGGCTGGCCCCGCTCTTCCCAGGCAGTAGGACTGCTGGCCAGGCCTGGGGGGCAGGGGCAGAGGACCCTCCTCCTCACAGAGACCCCGCTGGGTGGGGGCCCCGGGCTGAGGACCAGGCCCGGCTGACCCGGCAACCCTTTGCTGTGGCGGTGGCAACAGGGGCAAGGGGGCCCCAGCCCCGAGGGGCAGGGAGTGCCGCCCACGGGGAGGGTGACGGGGGCGTGCAGGGCCATCTCCTGGGTTGGGATCCAGGCTGGGGCCACGGGAGCAGTAGATGTTGCCACCTGGGCTTCGTCTGGCCGTGGGCTGGAAGGGGGCCTGGGGGGCAGGCTGGCAGCCAGGCAGGAGGCTGCAGGACCCGTGGGAATGCGAGAATGGTCTGCAAATGGTGGGGCCAGTGGCCAGACTACAGGATCCCGAAGGCCCCCCGGGGAGGCGGTGCCCTCTGCCAGCGGGGAGGCGGGCTGAGTGGGGGTCCTGGCCTGCCCCGCTGCTAGAGCTGCCCTGTGGGGGGCCTGTCCCGAGCTCCAGGTCCCATCCAGGCGCCCTGCCGGCCCCTACCGTGCATGGCGTGCCTCTCCGTGGTCATCAGCTGAGCCAGCGCCCAGAATGCAACCTCCTCGCACAGCAACATCAGCAGGACCCCCACGATCTGGCTCATGCCCTGGCAGTAGCCCACCTCCTGCAAGAGCCAACCCCGATGGAACGTGGCCACCTCAACGTGGTGGAGGTCAGGGTAGGGGAACTTCTCTCCCTGCTCAGGTTCTGATTCCCAGTTCGGTCCCTTCAGGATCGAGACCCGAGTTTTAGGGCAACAGCGACGCACGCTAGAGTACCTGGCAGCCCCAGCGCTCGGACTCAGGGGCCGTCCCTCCCCCTGCAGTCAGGTCTGCACCCCAGCCCCGGCCTCAGTCCTAGAGTCGAGAGCCCCTCCCTCGTGCCCCTGGGACAATGGGAGCTGGAGTCCTGGCTACGCGTCCTGGTTGGTCAGGAATCTGCAGGACAAAGGGCACCCGCGGGGCAGCAGGCCTGGCAGCGGGGAGACTCACGGGGTTGTAGACAGAATACGCCGAGAGCACATGGAACAGGGCTTGCTGCCTAGGAAAGGGAGAGCAGGGTGGGTTGCTCCTGTCTGAGCGAGGCTGGCCAGGTGCGGAACGCTGCCCCACGGACCTGGGTCTTCAGGGCAGCTCGGGGGCTGACGTGTCTATGGGGTCAGGTCTCCACACAATGACCGGCAGCTAGCTCAGACATACCACGGGATGGAGTTTATTTTCATTCTGCTGTTTGCCGTTTGCCTCCATGAAAGCGCCCGCTGTGGGATGGGCAGCTCCTGGGTTTTCACTGAGCCCCCAGCTCCCCCCTCCAGCCCTGGGGCCACTGCCCCACCCTGAACGGCCCCTTGGTGGCCAGGCGCTCCCCCTGCACCGCTCCCCCAGCCCCTGAGGCTTCTCCTCCCCGTGGTCTGGCTTGTTCCTGGTGCTGTGAATGCAACCATAGGATCTTTCTTCCCCGAGCCAAACGAAGCCCAGGTGCTCCCATAGCATCCAGCGCGTCCATAGCGCGGTCCTGTGTGTCCCTGAAGCGTATTCCCTGTTTTGGAATCCCAGTGTCTGTTCACCTAAGAGCAGCTTGGGCGCTTCCAGGTTGAGTCATTGTGCACAGAACCTTCACGCAGGTTTTACTTGGATAAAAGATTTCGAACCAGTTGGGTCAGTAACTGTGAGCACTTTGGGGCATATGGTGAGGCTCTGCTCAGCTCTGTAAGAAGCCGCCAGCCTGCCGTCCAGCGTGGCTGCATGACCCTGCACCCCAGCTCCCGCTGCCCCCTTGGGCGCCAGCGCTGGGTGCCCCCAGCCTTCCTGACCGGGGTGTGTGGCGGGCGCTGATGTCTCGCGGTGGCACGAAGGCTCAGCTCTGTCCCCAGACACACCCTGGATGAATGCACATTGTGTGTGTGTGTGTGCGTGTGCATCTTCTTGGCTCAAGTGTCTGTTCAGGTCTTGTGTCCACTGTGCGTTGGGTCATGTGTTCCATCACGGAGCGGCTTGTCCTCGGTCGGCAAGGGCCCCGCATTAGATGTGCCATTCCAAATCTCTCTCCCGCTCTGTAGCTTTCCTCCCTGCTCTCTGAATGGTGTCTTTGCAGAGGGCAAGTTTGTGATTGAGATAAACTCCAGCTTGTCCACGATTCCTCTCCTGCCTATTCCTCCCAGCTGACCAGCCTCTTCCTCCGTGTCCACGGCCTGTCCCTTCTCTGGCGTTCTGGTTTTCCAATGCCCAGAATGCGTTACCACCACCCTGTAACGCGGGTAAGGGTTGAACCTGGAATCCCACATGGGAATGTAGCTGCGCCCGAGTGCACAGAAGGAACAGGCTGCTTTTGAGGTCGGGGGCAGATCGGCCGAAGTGGAGACTATTTACCGAGAGGCCCTTATAGAAACCTCACGATCCTGTGCCCAGGTGTGCCGCCGGGCAGGGCCCACCCTCACATCAGGGCCCTTCTGTGTGAGGTCGCAGCGCAGTAGTCATAGGGGGATGGGGGTTTGGGGTGGTGCCTGGGGGCATCAGGCTGCCGGAGGCTGGCTTGCCCTGGACCAGGCGTCACAGGTCAGCCGTGACCTGGCCGCACTCTGAGGGCCAAGGCCGACGCAGCGGCCACCCAGGTTCCGGGGCACAAGGCACCCCCCTCGGTGGGGGAACGTCGGCGTCTCCTCATGAGACGGGTTGGGGATGGCCCCCTGGAAGGCTCAGTCCACGCCTGCCTGGCAGCTGCCAGCCTTCCCTTCCCGGCCTCCAGGTCAGCCTCCCCAGGGCCCCGGGCTGTGAAGCACACCGCCAGCCGCCGGCCGCGCAGACAGAGCTCCTTCTCCCGCGGCGATCCAGCGGCACCCCACCTGTCTGGGCGCACACTGCCTTCCCCACCTCCCGCTGGGCCCCCGCATCGTCAGGGTCTCCCCCGCACCTGGCGACTCAACACCAAACCCGGGCTCCTGAGGAGGACAGACCGTCCAGAGACCCCGACGGGGGCCGGGGAGGCGCCAACACCGTCCGCACACTGAGGCGCTGCACTAATTCCTTGCAGGCTGGAGCCGGTGGGGGGGGCACGCCTCCACCGGGAACCTCCGTTTCTAAGGCGCATACAGAGATGACTATAGTGTCGACCCGAGGTCTGGGCTTTGCTGGGACACACTTGCTGCTGGGGTCGCGGCTGGTGAGCACAGGACCTGGGCTGCACCGGGGACGGCATCTGGGGGTTCATCATACCACTGATCTGTACAGTGTCAACTGTCTACCATCAAATGCAAATACACGCAGAAAAACACCAAGAGTGGCTGTCCCTTTGACCCGTGTGACCCTCATCGGTCCATGTGTGTCCTCGTCCAGCCGAGGCTGGGCTGCCCGGCCCCCAGCCCCGCAGTGCCCCCACCCATGGCCTCCACCCTCTGTTGCTCCTCACTAGCAGCTCCACGCCAACCTTGGGGGTTCCGCTCCCACAGGGACGCCGCGAGGCCCCGTCGTGGCGCCCTCCCCATCGACACAGACCCGGGGAGGGGGCCACTGGGTCATCCCAAGCACGTTTCCCATGCGGCCGGGTTGTGTTTGCTGCCAACGTCCGCCTCTCCTCAGAGAGCCCGCCCTGCCCACCCAGAAGCCCCCTGGGCCGCCCCTGACCCCCAGAGTGTCCCCTGGGGCCCCCAGACCCTGCTTGTCCCGCAGTCTCACCTGACCCCGTAGCGGTCCTGGACCATGACATGGTTCCGGAAGGTCAATTTGCCTGATGTCCTTGGAGAAGAGCTGGGCCTGCTCCTTCATCTTCTGTGGGCAGAACTGGGAAGGAGGAGCCAGCTTCAGGACATGGGAGCCTAACTGTCCCCAGCTGCCCTCCGAAGAGGGAGCGCCGCTAGCCGCCCCATGAGTGTGTCCTGCAGAAACCACCTTCCTCCTTTGTCTCTGAGGCGGGGGCCCCGCACACGGGCCCATCGTGCCCGTGATGCCCGCGTCAGGCCTGGAGCTCAGCAGCCCTGGGAGGGGAGGGGACTCTCGATGGTCAGCCTGACGCTCCTCCCCTCCCCCCGCACAGGGGCCCGTCCTCCAGGACTGAGACCAGCCTGGGGCCTGAGCTCGCCTCTCCCCACGCGTTCCCCTAAGCTCCCGCCAAGGCCTCACGCAAGGGCCATGGCTCTGCTGGGTTTGGAAGGGCTTACCTCGTAGACCCCTTGGTTGGTGGACTTCACCTTCTCAATATCAAGCAGGAGGGTCCACACCTGACCTCGCACCTGCGGAGGGACCCTTTTATACACCCGACGATGCATCTACAGGACAGAAGGCAACGCTGCTGAGCCAGGCCCGGGACGGCTCTGTGATCCCCAGGAGCACGAGGCCTCCAGAAGGTTCTGGTCTTAGTTCCATGGCGTCTCCAGAGAGGCTGGGTCTCCCACAAGGAGGAGGGGACAGTGGCCCTGACCTGCCGGCCCCTCTGGTGCCCTCCTTGGGCCTGGGGAGGCTTGGGCTCGGGCAGGGGGACTCTCGTGGGTCTGGGGTTGGGGGGAGGCTGAGGGCTGTACGCACCCCCCCCGTTGGGACACAGTGCCGTCTGCAGGCACGCAGCGCTGCACCTTCTCGCTGACCCAGTGGTCCTCCCAGTTCCTCAGCATCTTCACCCACTTGTCGGCTCTCCGGGTCTCCTGGCGAAGTTGCTGGAACAAGACAAGAGGGCAGCAGATGAGCCGCCCGCTGTGTAGACTGGCGCCCGGGCAGCGTCCAGGGGCCTTCATGTGAACAGACTCAGAGAGCCCGAGGGGCACAGGGCCGCTGCCACTAACCGCGGCTCTGGGGCTCAGGCTTGGCCCCGGCAGCGCGTCGCGTGCTGGGACGGGGGATTTGGTGAAACAGCCCTTGGGACTACTTTGGGGACCGGGTCTGCTGTCCCCTGGCCCCATGCCCACCCAGCACGTCCTGCCCGAGCCCCAGGACAGGCTCGTACCTTTGCCTCGTGGGGGCTGGGGCCGGGCATCTCCTCCCTGGAAGGCAAGAGAAGCAGAGCCTGAGGACAGGGCCCCCGGCCCCACAGCCCCAAGGCTCGGCCCAGAAGCCCCAGGAGGGGTGGGCTGACCCCAGGGAGGGCAGGGGCTGCCCTCTCACAGCGGGGCAGCGTCCTGCCTGGGGCTGTGAGAAGGGTTGTTGCCGGCAGGTGGGCCGGGCGGGGGCATCTGAGCAGCCCCCACGAGGTGACTGCCCCCGTCCTGGGATGGGCCAGCCCAAGACCTGTCAGGGCAGCCAGGTGCCCCCTGGGCCCGTCTGACTGAGGACCCCATGCCTTCACAGGGCCTGACTGCTCAGCGTCCAGCCTGCCTCTCCCTCACCTTGGCCATCACCCCTGCTGTCCCCTGACGCCATCCCTCTTGTCGGTCACTTCTGTCCTTCTGGCCCATGTCTACCCCTTGTCTCGTCAGAGCCCTGAGCATGGCCCACCCCTGACCCCTCCAGACGGCCACTGTCCCTGGGCGGGGAGGGACTGAGGCCCCGGGAGCAGCCCGGTGACCACGCATGGATTCCCCAGCCAGGGCGAGGTCT